ATTTTCATCGTTGAGATGGTTAATATGTATAGTTCATAAATGAATAAGTAAAGTAATATTCGTTAATAATTAGGGATATTAGTATAATTAATTGTAAAATAAAATAAAGTTTTTTGCATAATCATTATTAATATACATAAATAAACATGCCCTTTAAGTAGAATAAAAAAATAAATAGTGGTGTAAGAAAAATTGGTGGAACCAAGTGGATTGTCCAAGAACAATCAAAATTTCAATTTTTAACCAATCTTTTATCAATATGGTTTATTTCAATTTTAAATTATTTTATATGAAGCAAATTAAACCAAACGAAATATTGTATTTAAATATGTAACTTTTTCTCAATTTATAAAGTACTCCCAATTGAAAATCAGTCTAATTGATATACTTATTTATATATTTATCAATGTTCTTAATCTTATTGCTAGCATGAAGCAATTTGAAATTGAAGGTTATGAATGGAGATCTCTATTATTGGGATAACAATAATGTTACATTCATCACTTTTTTATATTATCTATTATTATGTATCATCTCATACGTCATTGACATAATTTATCAACATAATTTTTACCAGCACTAAGCAATTTGTAATTGAAGGATGTCAATGGGAATCTATATTATTGGGATAATAATAACGTTACATTCATCACTTTTTTATACTATCCGTTGTTATGTGTCATCTCATATGTCATTGATATAATTTATCAACATTCTTAGGCCTTGTTTGGAAACTCATTGTTTTAGCTTTAAAGTCAAAAAGTCACTAAAAAAAATTAAAAGCCAACAACCTATGCCAAAAAATTTAAGATTTCATTTTCTCTTTACTTTTTGCATATTCTTTCGTAAAAAAAAATAAAAAATTAAATAAATAATCCATTCCAAACATACTAATTTTTTTTACCTCATATTTTAACCAAAAAATCAAAAAGTTACTAAAATAATTTGTTCCCAAGCGAGGCCTTAATATCATTACCAGCATTAAGCAATTTGCAATTGAAGGGTGTCAATGGAGATCTCTATTATTGGGATTGTTAAATATAGTAATTATATATTATACCTATCATACATACCATTTTATTCATTACCATACTTAGGTTTCTCTCCTCTTATATAAAGGAGTCTTGTATATATTGTTACATAATTATTCAACACAATATTTAATATACACATAACATAATATTCTCTCTCTCTCTCTCTGTCACGACCCCATTCTGCCCCTAGTAGAATGGTGCCATGATGGCCAGTAATCTGAGATTACCAAAGGCCAACCTTCAAGATTCACACACAAACATAGTAATACATATGGGGCTAACAAGTGCGGAAGCAATAAATACAAATTTAATTAGTCCATAAGAGCTGTGCATAAGTTAAATGGAATGTCATACATTCTTACATAGCTTTAATATAACCAAACGAAGTACAAAAATACATCTTGACCAAAAGGCTTCTCAGCCATCAAATACAAAATACAATAAAATACAACTAAGAAGCATAATCTTCAAGATGCGTCAAAAGTGCATAATCCAAAACAAGTGGCAAGTACATCTAGGCGTCACCGCCGTCCTGCTCGTCACCTACATACATATAGAGAGGGGTGAGCTTGGATACTCAGTGAATGGTATAAATAATAAAAGGGTTTGCATGAATGATATCCAAAATCTCTATCAAATCAAAACACATCACATCTTGTACAAAATCCAAGGCAAATCAAGTGTATCTAACAAATCTTTCAAGTCTCAATAATTTAAGTCTTCAAGGCTTTCAAGTTCCAAGGGAAGACATTAACAAAAGTTGTGCTACAAATGCTTATAGTCCCCTAGAACGTACGGACTTTCAAAGATTATGCTACAAATGCTTATAGTCCCCTAGCACGTACGGACTTTCAAAGATTGTGCTATAAATGCTTATAGTCCCTTAGCACGTACGGACTTTCAAGATTGTGCTACAAATGCTTATACTCCCCTAGCACGTACGGACTTTCAAAAATTGTGCTACAAATGCTTATAGTCCCCTAGCACGTATGGACTTTTCAAGATTGTGCTACAAATGCTTATAGTCCCCTAGCACGTACGGACTTTCAAGATTGTCATTCAAAACAAGGCTAATACTTGATATACAAAATAGGGATCATCATTCATGCTTCACAAAATACTTTTCCAAAACAAGCAAGGCAAAACTTTATCAAAACTTAATAACATAACTTTATTAAAAATACCACTCACATAGTTCTTCGAACGTCGGGGTCAAGGCAAGTCCAAGTCCTACAAACACATGGTAAAGTCTGTTGAATGCACTTTCAAACAAGTTCACATGCGTACAGATGATCTCGGCATCCTTCAAAACCAAGCTATGTCAAAACAAAACACTGTTTCTCATCTCGGGAAAACATGCTGGGCGACTACCAGGTCTAGGCCGAGGTCCCACACCTCCTTGCCGAGGTGTGGCCTCGATGGCCACATTCAAGGAAATGAAGTCGGGATAATCTGGGTTTCCCTCTCTTGAAGAACATGGCGAACATGAAGAACATGAACATGAGGAAGATGAATGCAAAGATCATAATCTGCTATTACAAAATCTGAGGTTTCATGCTATAAATTCAAAAACATGGACCTGGGTACCCATATTCAAGGATCTTGTGAGAACAAACACAAAACATGAATCTCTTTGCAAACTTTCGAATCAAACAAGACTTTTTCTTCAAGAACACATGAACACTATTTTCTCTTTCTAAAACCAACTTTAAATCAATGCATGACGTGTGGAACAGGTTCAATCGTGCAATGCAGCTAGATAAACATAAAGAACAACAAGAGTAAATCAAGAATCTAATCTCAGTACACGAATCTAACGGTTTGATCTCTAGGAATCAAGCTCGAAAGCCCACTTCTCACTCTACAACTTCTTCTTCTTCTTCTTCTTCTTCTTCAAGAGCTTCTCTCTCCTCTTCGAAAACAAAGATATAGAAATGATAGGTTTTCTCCCTCTGCCGGCTGACTTAACACTCAGCTCGGACACGTGGCAACGGCTAGTTGGTTCTCCTCAAAAGGTGATAGATTGACAAGACAAGACTATGACAAAGTGTATCTAACAAGCTAGATGGCACAGGCACTCCAGCAGGTAATGATCTCGGCTAAGAACAATGCATCGGCAAGTAGGGGAACAATGATTTCGGCTAGGAAGGACAACACTTGACTAAGCTGTGCCACACCTTGGCGTAGATGTGCCACACCTCGGTCTAGGTCATACCACTCCAGGACAAGATCACTTAGGTGCAAAGGTAACATCTCGGTCTAGATAATACACATCTCAGCCTTGGTGATGAACACCTCGGCCTAGATAATGACATCTCGGCCAATATGTCAGGGCGAAGGTGGAGGTCAAACAAAGTGATTCCAAGGAAATTCTAGACTTAAGATGACCTCGGCTAAACTCACACCAAAAAAGGTACAAAACATGCGAGAAACACTTAAGCAAGACAAATCAAGGTTTGCAAACATGCAACATATCAAGACAAGATCATGTAATATATGCAAGCATGACTAGGGTAGAGTGAGGGTTGTTACACACTCTCTCTCTCTGAGCTATTGTAACAGGAATAATAATAACGTTACATTCATCACTTTTTTGTATCGTCTATTATTATGTATCATCTCATATGTCATTTTATCATTGATATAATTTATCAACATTCTTAATAGCATTACTAGCATTAAGCAATTTGCAATTGAAGGGTGTCAATGGAATCTCTGTTATTGAGTTAACAATAACGTTACATTCATCACTTTTTTATACTATCTATTGTTATTTATCATCTCATAGGTTGTTCTATCATTGATATCATTTACCAACATTCTTAATAATATTACTAGCATTAAGCAATTTCCAATTGAAGGATGCCAATGGAGATCTCTATTATTAGGAGAATAATAATGTTACATTCATTACTTTTTATACTAGGGTAAATTACAAATACACCCTCTGAGGTTTGCTTCAAGTACAGATTCTTCCCTATGGTTTGAACAATTATAAATACCCCATTGTTAGAATTTTTATTTAATCGAATTAATTAAAAAGTGAAATTCATAATTGCTCTCCTATACAATAATAAAATTACCTAAATTATTACTTAAAATAAAAATAGTTAATTGACTTGATGATTTATTAGTAAAATTGGCGATTTGTTATGAAATTAGAAATATGTCATCTTTGGTATAAATAAATAAATAAGGTGTGTTTATTTATTTGATGGATTTTCAGTTTTATGAGAATTAAAGTCTTCAATTCCATTGACCTGGACCAAACTAATAGAGTGTTCAACATGGACCAAACTAATTACAACAATAGTTTTCATTTACAGCCATAGTGGTCATAAACTTGGAAAGCTGTAAGCCCGTAGGGCATTTTGTTATGAGGTTAACATGTAATACTTACATCTTGGAATTCTAATGAATGAAAGGAATGCAGTTAGTTTAAATGTAAATGCATGTCTTATCTGATGGGTTTATTGTTATTATTTTGAGGGCGTTACATACAGCCATAGTGGTCATAAACTTTCCTCATTACTACCTTTATTGAAATTACAGAAAATGGATTGAAGAATTTCTACGTGGGACTACAAGTTGATTTTTTTCTCTGTTTTTAGTGTATTTTCTGTGTGGGACTACAAGTTATGTTAGGTTAGGTCTCTTCTCTGGTTAGTGTATTATACACTAAAACATAATAATATGTGATTGCCCTCATTTACAGCTGAAACCTACAACCTTAAAAGTAATCAATGAACCAGTGAATTATAACACACTACTAAACCAGTGAATTTGGAAGGAAGGTACAAATCAAGGGGTCAAATATCTACTGGAGCTATTAAAAATTCGAAAGCTTGATATCAGAAGCAAATCTTAAGGTATAGGTAAAAATGTTGTTTAGATAGTCAAAATCCGTATACAATTACAAAATCTTGATATCAAATGTTGTGACACACCTTCCATTTGGAAACACCAATGAACAATATGCAGGTATATTTTGGATCTCCTTGGATTCCTATTGCAAGTAAAACATTCTCAACCACTAACTTCTCACACCACCACCATATGCACTACAAATTTTTTGTGGTCACCTTATTATTGAAAAATACCAAGGATAGCCACTAGTGAGCTTCCACCATCCACTATACAGGGCAACCAACTAAGTGTACGTATTTCTTCACTTTGCATCTCACCTGACTAGAAACATGACAACTCCCCACAAGATACACGGAGAGGGAAATTAATAGTACTTTCACATTGTTAACATGTGGTATGAAAAAATTTGAACAATGCTCCACTTGGTAATTTTTTGCGTACTTCTTTCCTTTGTTTTTCATTGAATCTTTTTCTCTATGTGGCTGTTTGGCCTTTACACTCTGTTTTATGGCAGTCAACAGTTTCTATTATTTATCTTACTTTTTGTGCTGATTTTAGCTGCTTATTGTTTATTCATTTTTTGTAGATGGATAACAATTATGTCACTAAGAAAGGGAGAAAGGACCTGATAGAGGAATTTGTAGCCCTGAAACATGTTGTTTCATCCATTAATTATGCATATGTTGTATATAGTGATTTTACATGCTGCATTCAAGAAGAAAGAAATTAGGTTGCAACTACTTAGATCACCTTACCCCTATGGAAAACAAATTGACCATTTGAATAGATTTGTCAACGATAGTGACATAAATTGTCATGACCAACTTCGGATGAATAGGCATACTTTTATGCTTTTATGTGGATTGGTGCGAAGTGTTGGATTGTCTGATTCAAAGTATGTCGTCTTAGAGGAGCAAGTAGCAAGGTTTTTGAATGTGCTTGCACATCATACTAAGAACCGTAAAATTAAATTTAATTTCATGCGGAGTGGTCAAACAATTAGTAAGCACTTCAATAATGTTCTCAAGGCTGTGTTACGCCTCTGTGGTCTCCTTCTTAAGAAGCCTGAACCAATAATTGCTAATTTGTACAGATGATATGTGGAGTTGTTTTCAGGTACAATATACTTACAACTTCGCTTAATTAGCATATTATTTTTTTTATTGCCTATATTAATTTTATAATATTATTTTTATTTTTAGAATTGTCTTGGTGCTTTAGATGGAACCTATGTTAAGGTTCTTGCCTCTGCAATAGACAAACCAAGGTATAGAACAAGAAAGGGAGAAATTGCTACAAATGTATTGAGTGTGTGCTCCCAAGACATGCAATTCATATATGTCTTGCCTGGATGGAAAGGATCTGCTTCTAACTCTAGGGTACTTAGAGATGCTGTCAGTAGACCCAATGGGTTGAAAGTCCTTACTGGTATGATAATTATATATTGTTATATATATATATATATAAGTACACTATATCTATATTAAATAATTATTTTGTTACATAAATAGTGAAACCATCTTACATAATTACAAGCCACTACTATCTCGTAGATGCGGCGGGTTACACAAATGGGGAGGGTTTTCTCGCACCATATAGAGGACATCGTTACCATCTTTCCACATGGAGAGAAAGGGGTGCCCCAACAACTCCACAAGAGTTTTTTAACATGAGGCACTCTTCTGCTTGTAACGCCATTGAGAGATGTTTTGGACTACTTAAAATGATGTGGGCAATATTGAGGACTTATTCTTACTTTCCAATCAAGACTCAATTTCGTATTATCATTGCATGTTGCCTTCTTCATAATCTCATACAACATGAAATGCCTATGGATCTTGATGATGATGAGAACGAGAAAATGAATCCTCCTTCTCCAGCTATTGAATTAGGAGATGAAATGATTGATGTTGTTGAAGCATCAGATCAGTGGACTGAATAGATAACTGCCTTGGCAACCCAAATGTTTAATGAATGGCAAGTAAGAAGAGGTCAATAAATTAGTGTTGTATGACGATTTTATTATGCCATGTAATTTGAACCATATTTGTTTAGTTTTTGTGTGGTATTTGTAACAAATATTGTGTAAGTTGATTTGTTATTTATGATTGACATGTGTGTTATGATTTAAACTTATGATATACATATATATAGCTATGGATGACACAGGTACCACTAGTTCTCGTAAGAAGGGGAAACCTCGAAGGTTTTGGAATCACCGCGAGGAACTCTTCCTCATTACAACCATGAAGGATGTAACCACAAGTAATCCCAAGTGGAAGCTTGATAATAATCAGTTTAGGGCAAGCTTCTACAATGAATGTGAGAAGAAGATCTTAAGTGCATTTCCTGGAACTGATCTTCGAGCCAGTCCTCACATCGACTTGAAGATTAAATTGTGGAGGAAATAATATAACACTCTTCAAGATATGCTAAACATAAGTGGTTTTGGTTAAGATGATGAACAAAAGATGGTGCTTATTGATAGTGACGACGTATGGCAAAACTATGTCAGGGTAAATCTCATTTTTATGTTGTTATTTGCATATCTTTGTACTTATAAATCAATTTGTTCTTTTCAATAATTAGATAATCACTTGTGTAGAGCGTGCCAGATGCAAAAGGGATGCGAAACAGGCCATTCCCGTTCTATGAAGATTGGCTTATTCTATGTGGGAAGGATAAGGCGACTGGTGAACTGGTTGAGGATCTTGCTGATGCAGTTGCAGCCATGGAAAAGGAGGATGCAAATGCAACTACAAAAGAAGGAGAACAGTCTCCTGTTGAATAGTTTAGTATGAACATGGGTGATACGGACTACTCAATGTCTATTGCAAGTAATGTTCCCAACCGTGCTGACTCTACTAAAACTGGGAAAAAAGGTGCTCGACCTGCTGAGGGGATCCCCATTGAACTATCAGAGATGTCAAAAAATCTTGGATCATTCATTGAGAATACTATTACTACGATGGTGGAAATTGCTCACAGGATAGGATATTCACATGACCTATCCCAACAAAGGAGGTTGGTTAATGCAGAACTTCTAAAGTTGCCAATGAGTAATACCCAAAGATTGATGACAACATCTATGATAGTGAAAGATGAAGACAAAGTTGACATGTTTTTCAGTTTAGATGAGAATGACAAGATGGAGTGGGTTTCTTTGCTATTGGAAGGTCATATTTGAATGTGGCATCTACTGTATGATGGTCTTTTTGTTTCCCACATGACTTGTAATATATTATGCGAGGCATAAATATTATAGGTTAGGTAGTTTCTGCTACTGCAATACTTTATGATGGTCTTTTGTTGAGTAAATGTTGCTCCTATGTTGGGCTGGTTAAGACTGGTTTTTGTAACTTGCAATCTGTTTATAGGTTGCTCTTGTGTTAGACTGCAATATATTGTCTTGTATGCTACTCTCTGCAATTCATGTATTATTGTTGTTATGCAGCAAGGCTTGAAATGTATAAGAAAAAGGAAATCATGAGTTATTGTTGTTATGCAGTTCATGTATTATTATTGTTGTTATGTAGTTCATGTATTAATATGGAAAAAGGAAATCTGGAAATTCGCAGTTCATGAATTGTTATGCAGTTCATGAAAAAGGAAATCTGCAGTTCATATATTATTGTTGTTGTTATGCAGCAGTTTTGCAACAAGACTTGGAGTGAGTGCTTTTATCCAATTGTGGGGATCTTCATGGATAAGCCCAAGAAATTTGGATGGTATAGCAGCCTGGTGGTTTGAAAAAGGAAATCATGAAGCTTGGAAGAATTTTTTTGTAAGAATTTTTTTAACAAGAATTTTAACAAAATTAATTTTTTTTTTTTACACATATATAATACAAGATTTTTTTTTACACATATAGTAGCCTTGTGCTTTTAACAAGAATTTTTTTTGTTAATAAATTAACAAACCTCACTAAATTTTTTTTACACATATATAATACAATAACAAAATTTTACAATTTAAAATGATGCCCTGTAAAATAATACAAGAAGAGCAAAATGGGGTGCAAATCTATTATAATGAGGTATCAAAATGATGGGGTGCAAAATGATGCCCCGTAAAATAATCTATTACAATTTAAAATGATGCCTGTGAAATTTATTATAATTTCTATCAAATGAGGTTTCAAATGTGGTGCAAATCTACTATTTGGGTGGCAAATCTACTTTGCTATTGGATTCATTAACATTAATTTTTTTTTTTAAATAACATTGAATAAATAATTTTTTTTGATAATTAGATTCTTTAATATTAAAATAAATAAAATAAATAAAAAAAGAAGAAGAAGAATATCGAGTAAAAATTTATTTATACTTTACTTGGTATAAGTCCAAATTTGATAATATGCAAAAAGGGTATTTGTGGAATTTCACATAGTTAATCTCATCCCTATCTCTCAAAACAAACATGGACTATTACTACTCCATTGGTTATCAAACAAACATAATTTTTCTTAATCCCCTCCCCTCACTAACAATCCCCTCACTAACAGTTCACTCCATTCTATCTCTGAAAACAAACGGGGCCTCAAGTTAATAGTGCACATGAGTCACCAACTATAAGTCCTATATATATATATATATATATATATTTTTTTTTTTTTCCATAGACAAGAATTTTTTTTTTCTTTTTTAAACTTTTAGATAAGAAATATATATTTTTTGAACTTGAACAAAAATATGAGAGGCTAGGGACCTTCCAAAATTGGGGACTCAAAATGATGGCTTTTGTGCTGAGTAATTCTACACGTACTAACAATTTTATTAAAAATATTACTAAAAATACAGGATTCCAAATGTGATTGAGTGTAAAAAAAGTAAAGAAATTTGAACATCCAATAATGTTTAGACATTTATGTTCTTAATAAAATTTTGAATAGATGTAAACATTACTTTTGTGCGCCTAGCTATTGAGCTGACCATGAACCTAGGCAATGTCTAATTTTTCGGATTAGATATGTAGAATTTGACCAAATATGTAATACTGAAGAACAAAATAGAGAATTTGTAATATTTAGAGACAAAGGTTGAGATTTGTGAGTCCACTATTATCATGTTTTATTAAGGTAAGCTATAATATGAAATAAAAGGAGTGTAATTATATTTGAATTTAGCTTCCCTCTAGTATACTAGTTGGATTGGAGGGTTCATTTGGCTCATTTCCGTCCTATTTTTCTTATTTGAATCTTTCAAATTTTAGTTTCATTTCGACTAGATGATCTGCGTAAAACATCTAATTGATCGGATATGGATAGCACGTGTTTACATCACATTTATCATTAAAAAAATGGATAGAAAAAGGGTCTATTTTTAAAATTATATTTGTTATTTATTTTTTAAAAAACAAATGTAATCCAAACATGTAGATATTGATATCTAATTAATTGTTTTTTAATTTTTATTTTATTTTATGAATGATATACTTAGAAGGTTCTAAATCAAGGTAGAGTAGTTCCAATAAACTAAGTGAAATGAAAATAAAAATAAAATTGATCAAAACTCTCATAATAAAATTTTAATGTATTAAAAAAAATTTCCTCGAAAAGTTTAACAAATATTATTATTATTATCAAAATATGCTTAGTAAGTAATTTAATATTTTAAATTTTGAAAATAATATAACTTTTGATCTAAATGTTAATTTTTTTTTATTATAAAAAAAATAGTTTTTTTAAAATCCTCTTATTAAGATCTATCAAACAAGATCCATTTGACTATGAAATTCTTAAAAACAAAAACAAAATAAAAAAATAACATCAAAATTGATGTGAACAATAACATGTTATTATGTTTGACAGTAACATGTTGTTCTGCCTCATAACATATTACCCTGGTTCATGATAACAATATGTTGTTATAAAAAAACAGAGTACATATTAGATGAATCAATCAAAAATACACATACACAATATTTTTAAACTTGTATAAAATTAAAATAAAAGTGTTGCTTGTCAAATAGTTCTGTGATATATATATACTAGCGTATGCCCGTACCTGAAGGCACGGTGTTAATAACGTTAGGATTAGAATATAATTATAATTCCAACACTATTTAATAAATTATCAATTATCAATTGTCAATTTAATATAATTGTAATCTTAACCCTTTTGTATTATTTGCAGACCCACGAATGCAAATAATATTAAGGTCACGCTCATCGCGGATAACAACATTAACATTTCTTTTTTTGAAGAAATTGAATCGATATACAGAAACTTTATATACATAACATTTATAAAAAGTATGAGGAACAAAACATTTATAAGAAGAAAATTAGATATGATAAGTTTAAAATAAATAAATAAATAAGCTTTACATTATAAGAGACGTAATCGAAGCTTTCCCTAGTCTGTAAGTTTACAATCTCCTTTTCCAATGGATTTTCACCACCATACATGCACCAAAAATACTATAATTTCCATTTGTGTAGCACAACAAATTTTTTTTTAAAAAAAAAAGCCTAAAATATGAGACTTAGTCTTCGTTTGGGAAGAAGGGTTGGGTTGAGTTTCAGGCTATTTTAACCAAAAAAAAAAAACAAAATAGACTTTTTCATCCAATAAGACAAAACATCACATCTAATCCATAATGATTACATTCTTTCTCTCAACAAAAGTAAAAAAAAATCAAAAAGTAAAAAAGTCATTCACAAACAAGATATTTTAGTCCCAGGCTAAAATAACCAAAAAGTCAAAAAGCTAACCTACTTTCCAAACAAACCCATAAACAACAAGAGAATGCTTATCTTTACAATATATATATATATATATATATATAAGGGGTAGGTGCAACTGTAATGTAATTATAATTTTACATATAAATTTTATAAATAATTTGATAAATAAAAAAAATTCGTTGAACTTGAAAACTATTAATAATTATTTATTGAAGTAGTTAACAACACGAGTATTAACAGTTATTTAATAGAAGAGTTAAATATGACAAAACTATATAATTATTATAGTTAAGTGGGTTATATAATAGAACAGGATAATATCTATCATTTGGTAAGGGGCCATCTCTTGCTTGAGATATATATATATACTAGCGTATGCCCGTGCCTGAAGGCACGGTGTTAATAACGTTAGGATTAGAATATAATTATAATCCCAACACTATTTAATATAATTGTAAATTGTCAATTTTAATATAATTGTAATCCCAACCCTTCTGTATTATTTGCAGACCCACGAATGCAAATAATATTAAGGTCACGCTCATCGCGGATAACAACATTAACATTTCTTTTTTTGAAGAAATTGAATCGATATACAAAAACTTTATATACATAACATTTATAAAAAGTATGAGGAACAAAACATTTATAAGAAGAAAATTAGATACGATAAGTTTAAAATAAATAAATAAGCTTTACATTATAAGAGACGTAATCGAAGCTTTCCCTAGTCTGTAAGTTTACAATCTGCTTTTCCAATGGATTTTCACCACCATACATGCACCAAAAATACTATAATTTCCATTTGTGTAGCACAACAAATCCCATATTTATCATATTCAAATGCAGACCTGCTGTAGATTTCCTCACTATCAAGTGAACATCTTCATTTGCTCTATGGCCAGATCTGCGTGTCAAGTTTATGTTTAAAAGATGACTATCCAGTCTTCAATCATTAATTAAGAAAAATAAATAAACGAAGATTCAGCACATTGATACATTTTTAGTATAGCCATCATCAAAGTATCCAATTCAAATTAAAACCAAAATCAAAATTCGTTAGGACTTCACACAAAAAATGAAACATCTACATTGTTTTAACTACATTAGCGGAATCCAAAAAAAAAAAAAGAATTAAAAAAAAAATACTACAGTTGCGATTCAAACACATCTGAATATACATAGCACCAATTCAGAAATTCAGGAAATGGAGATATATGATAATGAATGAAAGGAAAATCTGACTACAAAAACTGAAATGCAGTTTGATCAAAAGAACAACAATGTGCTTATCAAAAAAAGATTATAATGGGGTCATTAGTTACTGTTTATCCCTTTTGCTAGGTCGTAAAATTATAGTGCAAGAATTTACATAGCAGACTTGGAACCGCTTCCTGTCTGCTGCCCACACAGAAAACTACTAAAGTGTTGATTCCATACACAATCAAGCCAGTCTGTAAAAGAGAGAATAGGTACACCTCAAAACAGAAAAGAACTTAATGTACTATATGCATCCCTTAACAAACAGTAAGAGGATAAATCATGATCGATCATGATTTGTGACAGGTGATTCAAGAAAATTTTTTATGGATGATTGACGATGAAACACAAATATTGAACAGTGCTTATATCAATTGAAAGTTAACTCAAGGTTTGGATGTTACATTTGTACAAACAGATAGTGAACATACAGAAATGCACGCAAAACAAACATCAATTTTTTAAGCCCAAAACTCCTACACCAAGCAAACAACTTCAATATCATGTCAGTATTCAACTTCAATATGTAGAAGAATCTAACTAAAGATAGTCTGAAGGGTTTTCATAAACAAATTCAAGCAAACAACTTCAATTATCTACCAGAGGATTGCATTTAAAACAAAAATCATGCTTACTTGAGTTGGATGTTGTCCTGGACCATCCCCTGCATTAATAACAGGAATACTGGCAGTGGCTGCTGCTTTTTGAGCAGCACCACTTTCAAAGTGCCTCATCACAATTATATCGAGTACCCTTCAACTGTTCTTATACTATCTGCAAATCAAGCTTCAAAATTAGAACCACAAGGCAACAAATTAAGCACCCAAAATTAAGCATTTGAAAAACTACCTTCAAGTGTCTCTCCTTTTGCAGCGGACGAAAACTCCCTAGCATTTTCTGTTGTCAAAACTTCCCCGCCCAACCGTTTCATAGCAGACTCCAAAGAAAGCCTAGTTCTAGTTGAGGGCTCATAAAAGAGGGTAGCCATTAAAAACCCCTTCAGAATTATCCATCAAGTAAATCAACAACCAACAAAACCAACTTTAATCTTTAGTGGCTTTCACAGAACTATATGTTAATATTTTAAATGGCAAATTTTAATTGATCTCTAAGTGAGTATAGAGTAAATTGGGCCTTTGGATTCAAAATATTCATTCTTCTTAAGTTCTGAAAATCAATCACAAATTTGAAATGGAGCTTTTGTAATATTAGGAACAAACTATATGTAGAATGGTATAAAGGAAAATCAAAAAGAAAAATGGTTTATGCCAAATCAAAGAAGCTTCATGAAATATTTCACAATCAAGTTTAGTATTACATAAACAAAAAATTCCACTTTTTGTTTTTTTGAAAGAAAAACAAAATTGTAGAAACAAATATAGCAACATCTAGCTAAACCCAAGCTCAAACCCACATCATAAATGTGAATGAATATTAGTAAAAAACTGTTACTGAGTTCTGAATAGGTTCAAACAACAAATATCACATAAATGCACCTAAATATATATATCAATTTGATGAAGCAAAATATTCGATATTTAACTCAAATAATACACGAAGGACTATATTATAACAATGAAACTAACACTAATCACAATCAAAAACAGCATAAAGTCAAGAAGCGCATTGAAGTAAATAGACACTTTATAAAACAAAAAAGAGTTTGGGACTTAGTTGCCACCAGGTGTGTAAACAGCCTACTGTTAAAAAAAAAGAGAAGAAAAGCTATTGCTAAAACAATTCAATAGAAGAAGAAGAAATAAAAACAATGCTTCTAGTTGTAGAGAGGCCAAATTTGAGTCTTCAAGATGAAAAATCAAACATTATATTAAAAAATCAGAATATATTAATCTAGATCACCTCAGAGAATCAAGAAAAGAAAAATAAGGAATTCAAACTCAAAATGTACAACAATGGATTACTCTAGATCACAGAATCAAAGGCTATAGTAGACCAAACTACTCCGTGATGAATGCAAAAGCCCCCTCACAGATTTTATCCTGCAACTTTCAATTTCTTGACACCAAGTTAGGCAAAGGAAATAAGTTGGAGAAAGTTTAGTCAATGAATCGGCCTGATGAAGTCCTCCTTGCAAATTTCAATTTCTTCACAGCTGCCAATATCACTATCGAGATCATTCGACTCTCTGGAGTAGTCAACGTATCGGCCTGATGAAGTCCTCCTTGTAAATTTCACTGACATAGGAATTGACTGTCCTTGCAGTGATTCAGAACCTCTAAACGATCTTGAAGTCATGATATTAAAATGTGTAGTAGTATCAGTTCCTGAAATTAAATAACACAGAAGTGAATCAACAAAGGTTTCAACCACAAAATTTTCAGACAGAGTTTAAAGTAATTCAAACTCTAATCCCTTAAAATGTGTAGTAGAAGACTATATATCAGTTCTTGAAATTAAATAACACAGAAGTGAATCAACAAAGGTTTCAACTACAAAATTTTCAGACAGAGTTCAAAGTAATTCAAACTCTAATCCCTTAACTCTCTCTCTCTCTCTCTCTCTCTAGCTAGAAGATAATGATTTATCTTAGCACTACTTTCAATTCTGTGTTTCAAATGCAAATGGGAAATATTTGTATATAAAATAGTGAAACAAAATAGGGCAATTTGGCAAAATGGGAAATCTTATGCTAGATCAAAACAACAAAATCATGACAAAAATCTCTCTCTCTCTCTCATCAACCTCTGAACCAAAACCCCAAGATTTTTTCCCCAACACAAAACAAAAGAAGTTCAAAAGCAAAAAAATTGACAAAAAAGTAGCAGATACGCAAAAACAACAGTACTTTCTATCTGTCAAACAGCATTTCCAGAACCCAACTCTGCCCAGTCGCATAAAATAGCCAGAACCCAAGAAAGTAGCAGATACGCAAATGTCAATGAAAAAGTGTGTATATATGTATGACAAAAACATCTCTATTACTCATTTTCTAATTCTTAGTAGAAATAAATAAATAAATAAATAATTGAAACGGCTTCAAAGGGCGTGTCTAAAGAAACATTCAAATCAAATATAATGAGATTAATATATCCGGGGTGCATCTATGGTCTGAAATTAGATTAAAACTCAAAAATGAGATTAATATATCCAACTAACACATATCAATTGAAATTCAAATCACGAAGATTTTAATGGGTATACTAAAGAGTGAAGACATAATCAGACAACCTTCCTCTTATTTGAAATCCATATAGAAAAAACACATCAAACCCACAAGAAATTATGCTATTGTGATTAAGCAAAAACCTATCTACTTCCTAAAATTGGATACTATTAAGATTGATCAAAGAATGGAAATGACTCACTCACCAAAGTCTTTTTGCCATTGTCTGATGTAATAACAGAGCAAGAAACGCTAGGTCTGATCTTCCTCTCCTTTCTCTCATATCTCAAGCCTTTTGCTAACTGATTAACCCAATGACGACTGTTCTTGTTGAGACTCCCCTCATCCTCTCCCCCCAAAACCCATTATCACCATGACTCAGGCCACATTTGCTTGGGTTTGCCAAGTGGGTATTGGTTCTCAAGGTTGCATAGCAAGAATCCATTACAAATGAGTTGATTAACAGAGGAAATACAACTGATCCAGAAATCAATAAATTACAAGTTTTTAAATCACATAATGGAAAAACAATCACTCCTAAAAGCATAGGCAGATATTGAATCACATATTGAATCAGATATTGAATCACAACCATAATCAGCGACAATGATCAAAACAATCACTCCTAAAAGCAAAAAACAAACGGAAAAAATACTTAAAAAGGGAAAAAAAAATAGAAATCATATGAAGCATATATGCAGAGAAAAAGATCAAAAAAATCAATCAATTCGAGGAAACCAATCGATTTTGTTGATCAGTTTGTACCTTAACAGTGGCGGTGCTAACCAATCGAAAGGTTCGAAGACCCTGGAATTTGTATCGAGAAATCTAGGGTTTTTTGGGGTTTGCTTGTGTATGTAGAGAGAGAGAGAGAGAGGGAGTGCCGATGTCAAAACAGCCAATCCATCTCATCATCAAGATCGTCACGGAACTCAATCATCGATGAGCCAAGTTCGATCTTCCCCTTCAATGGCGGCGATGAGCGAACGTGTAGAGAGGGCCAGATGTGTAGAGAGAGAACTTGTGAAGAGAGGCGTCTGTTTGGGCAGATGTGGGAGTGAGAGAGAGATGAGCGTTTGGGCGGGAGAGAGAGAGAGAGCGTTTGGGCAGACATCATCTCAACCATTGATATAAACTTAGAATTAATCTCAGCCATTGGATCAAAATGTATCTCACATACATTTTAAGACATTTTCAAAAAACCTCTTGCCTTATTATATAGATATATATGCATGGACAATATTGTCGGAAAAAAAAAAATAAATTTTATTTTGTCCTTACTCAATTATGAAATAAAATAAATTAAGTTATTATTTTCATCAGATAAAGATCTGATAGATGAGTTTTGACAGATTTCTTAAAAAAGGACTTTGGAGCCAACGCAACAAGCAAATATAATATGCATATGTATATATTTTTGAAGTGGTATATAATCACTTTGTTTCAAAAACTAAGGTCGTAAATTGTGTGATTGAATTTAGAATTTGAAAATTAAACTGAATTTAGAATTATTTTGTCCTTACTCAATTATGAAATAAAATAAATTAAGTTATCATTTTCATCAGATAAAGATCTGATAGATGAGTTTTGACAAATTTCTTAAAAAAGGACTTTGGAGCCAACGCAACAAGCAAATATAATATGCATATGTATATATTTTTGAAGTGGTATATAATCACTTTGTTTCAAAAACTAAGATCGTAAATTGTGTGATTGAATTTAGAATTTGAAAATTAAACTGAATTTAGAAAATTCAAAAGTTAAGAGATTTGACCCAAAAATAAAAAATAAAAAATAAAAAATAGAGATAATTGCCCATAGAATTAATTTAGGGGTATTTTTTTTTTAAAAAAAAACCCTAAAATATGAGACTTAGTCTTCGTTTGGGAAGAAGGGTTGGGTTGAGTTTCAGCTATTTTAACCAAAAAAAAAACAAAATAGACTTTTTCATCCAATAAGACAAAACATCACATCTAACCCATAATGATTACATTCTTTCTCTCACAAAAAATAAAAAAAACCAAAAAGTCAAAAAGTCATTCACAAACGAGATATTTTAGTCCCAGGCTAAAATAACCAAAAAGTCAAAAAGTCAACCTACTTTCCAAACAAACCCATAAACAACAAGAGAATGCTTATCTTTACAATATATATATATATATATATATATATAAGGGGTAGGTGCAACTGTAATGTAATTATAATTTTACATATAAATTTTATAAATAATTTGATAAATAAAAAAAATTCGTTGAACTTGAAAACTATTAATAATTATTTATTGAAGTAGTTAATTGCTAATCGTTCAAAAAATATTTATAAGGGTATCAAAATTAAATATAAGGGTATAAGTGTCCAAGAAAATAGTGTAAATCATGAAAATAGACTTTATAGAATAAAACTATACATACATGGGACTAAATGGGTTAAAAAATTCCTTCATGGACTTCTTGGGTTAAAACACTTCTAAATTGGACTTATCATTAAAAATCCCTTATTTTTTTTAAAAAAATTATTTACCAAGATACCATGCATAATGTTACATAATATTATAGAATTACTTAATAATTATTCAACGGCAAAGTAGAATCATCATATTTATTAAATATATATATTTATATATTGGCAGTTCTCATGGAGAAACAAACCAACCATCCATTAGTTCTACATAGCTAGGCTAGGTACATCAATGGAATCCATATTGGATCTAACACTCAATGAAAAACAAAGACAGAAAAAACAGATAAAAATAAATAAATAAATAATTCCCAAAGTAAACAATCAAAATATGCATCAATCTTTTTTTGCTCAAATACCTAAAAAGTAATGTATGAATGGCTAATATACTATTATTATTGTTATTATACAAAGGGAAATGCTTAAAGCATTCCTTAGTAATCAAAATGTGTGTTTCTTAATGGGACTTGTTCTTCTTGTTGTTGTTGGTGGGCGAATTGATCATGTCCTCGGAAGGAAGAGGAGAAGATCGAGATGGAGAAGTCTCGCCACCGGCGGGCATGTCACCAAGAAAGGCAAGCAATCTACGGATACTGACAGAGCGAGCTGTCTTGAAACTTGGAGAAGGCCTCACTTTGTTCTTTGAGAAGATGTTGGAAGATTTTGAAAGGATGACATAAACAAGGGCTTGTACTAAAATGAACAGTCCCACCTTCACTAACATCTCTCCTAAACTGCTTTCTATAGCTGCCATGTCGACGGTAACTTTTTTTTTCTTTATCAGCAAAGAAAACACTTTATTGATGGAAACACAAGCTATGTCGTTGGTAACTTACCACACAGAGAGACAGAAAATTGAGTCCTGAGTTTGAGTTTGAGTTTATTGGAGAGGGAGAGAGAGAGAGAGAGAGAGAATGTGAAAATGAATTGGGATTGTTTAAAATTTAAAAGATGGGATGATGGTATATGTGTACTTATAGGAGAATGAGGAGGCTCCTGCCTGCGTGCCTGCCTTGGGTTAGACGACTTAGACCATGCTCTATGCAACGCCGTTCTCTTTTGACTTTCGCAGCATCCAAACTCAAAAAATAAACTAAAATATGACAAATAGCCACATGGAATTTCTAAGTTACCAAGTCAAGTATTTGAACCTCTAACATGAATAGGGAACCACCAATTATTCCTAAAAAATGATAGAATTTCTTGTTAAATTATTATTATTATTATTATTTTTTAATCAATTACACGAGTATAGTTTTATATGGATGTAGCCTAGGGCTCATACCTATACATGAAGTTAGAAGAAAAATTAGTAATTTATTTGGAATAATTTAGTCATTTCTTGGAATGTTTCTATTGTACAAACATTATTACAACGTGGTTTTCAAGATCAAATTCTTTCGTCTCTAAAAATAAAAATTTTGATATAAAAATATAAGAAAACCAATTTTAATCGTCAAGTGAGTCATGCCGAAAAGGCCGTCTGAAATTTTTTTAAAGGAAAATCAAAAAGAGCTTTAGCAACAAAATTTTAAAAAGGTAAAATGATATGAAAGCCTATTTTCTAAACTCAATAATATGAAAGTTATATTGTTAATAGATGATTAGAGAATATATGAGATATAATTATGTTAGATATTCTAAATCTAATGGATTATTATGTCATTGGATTTAAAAGTAAGTTTAACAATTTGCCACATGGTCTTTTAAAAACTTCTGCCAGGATGTTGACTTTTTATACAAAATTTTTGGTAAAAAAAATAGCAACTCATTATTGGATGTTCGATTTTATTGCAAAAATTACAATAATATTTTTTATGTATGATATATGTTATTTAATCACATGTTTTAAGTTTTTTTAAAGTGTAATATTTAGGAGTGTGATTAAAAATGATCATTTTTAATCACATGTTTTGAGTATCATTAAAAAATAATTTCATCACACCTTATGCGTGTGATAATAAATATTTAGATCATACTTTTTACGTGTGATAATAAACATTCAAATCACATTTTTTACATGTGATAATAAACATTTAGATCACACTTTTTATGTGTGATGCATAACTAATAAAATCTATGGTAATAAAAATTTAGATCACATATTTTAAGCGTGATTAATATTTAATAAAACATGTAATTAATAATGAGATAAGATCACACGTTATATGCATTTTTCATCACAGTTAATGCGTGTGATAAAAAAAGGGGTTCGACATATTTGAAAATATTATTTTTGTATGTATTTGAAGAATGTAATACACACTATATGCTATCTTTTGAATTATAACCACATATTGAATGGAATAACGTCATATATTTTATAAATAAAAGTTGAATATTTAAAAGTATATACAAATGAATTAATAATAAAAAAAAATTAACCGTCATTACATATACTAAAATTGAAAAAACTTGAAGCACAAAGTCCTTGAATTCTTTGATCATATTTTGCATCTCTCCAATCAATTTTTGACCTAAAAAATTAAAACACAAATTAATTCAGAGGCAAAATTTGCCACTTCTTTAGAAATAATTTTGGGCTATAGGCAAAATAAAGGCAAGAAATTCACAAAGATGTCTGTTTGGATCAAAATAA